GTCCATTCATCTCAAGGTCTAGATGATCAGTTGGAGGGTTCTCCTATGTGGAAACACTCTCCATTGTAGGATTTTTGAGTTGCACCTTTCCTCAATAGTATAAGGTTGCAACCTTATACAAACTTTTTCCAAGGCCAAAACATATAAGAACCATACAAAATGTCTTAAAATTAAATTAATATTATATTACATAAAGGGAAAGCATTCTATATTTCCCCTATTTTGTAGAAATTACATGCTTTTCTCCGAACTAGGTGTTCAATTTAGATCAAACGAGTCACTAACTGTTTGACCTAGATCATATGCCTCAGATTATTTTATTTTAAATCTTTCTTTCTACTAATCATATAAATATAAAATTTGGTACGTACAATCATTTCAATGGGTTGCACCAAAAAAAAAATTTTAAAAATATTTTTAATAATATAAAATAACCAAAGTATCACCGCCCAAATTTTTTGTCATATGGGGCTCCCTCTATTAGCCACCATTAGGGGCCATGATGCTGCCAATTAGGGCCCTAGGGCAGGAGGCCAAATGTCATCATAACATGGATGTTATGTTATAATGTAGAGAGGCATGTTGGAAAATTTGTCAAAATATACATGAAAGTTAGCACTATTTAGCATTTTGTTCTAAGCGTGAATTGATAAATTTCAACACCCATTTTGACGTGTCATTGACGAGCCATTTGAAATTTGATCGAAAGAATGATGGGTACTTGAAATTAAATTAAAAATATGGGTGAGATGTTAAATAGTTGAAATCTCAAGTGTAGTTTGATTAGTTTCCCTACAACTTTTCAACGTGTACATGTCCATAGATGGTACAAACGTGTCTTTTGCAAAAGTCTGCTGTCAGTCCTGTGCCATCCATTATATTAACGGATGGTGATAAACCAATGGACTATAATTTTCTATAATCCGTTATATTATAGTTTCAGTAGTATATGTTTATTTAGATATGAAAATGTTTTGTTGAGCTTGCCACACTACGATTTAGGTGAGTCAACTCAGCCTTGAATTTCCATTTATTTGATTGAAATCGGACTTCCCCTTCCCTAGTGGAGGATGTGATAGTCAAAATCACCACCCCATAAAAATCCTCTCGTTAAGATTTGAATAAATTTAATAAAACTTTTTTGTTTGTTGGGAGATTCCTAACATACATATTGCGATCATTATGTGAGAAATATATACACGCATATATATGATGAGAGAGAGAACCTTGTCCTATTTGGGGTCACTGTATGAAAAATGTGGTTTCCTCTAGAGAGGATGGCAGGGGCCTCCTGCATAAAGAATTTAGGCATTCATAGAGAGACAAGACTCCATATGAATAAATATGAAACTCCAGGAGAGAGAAACGTTGAGACGATGCCTCGTGTAGAATGAGAGATTGATTTATTACAGAGAAGAGATTTTCATTTAGATTTTGGGTAGTATCTTTTTTTTAGTGAGTTACAATCTTAAGTGAGTTACAATTTTAAAAGTTCTCAATATTTTCCTCCTGGATATTGGTTTAGCAGTAGAATAGAGATGAATGATATTGATGGGCATGGCTAGTTTGAAAGGGTTGCTTAACCGAGCTTCGCTAGGGTTTTATAGCTAAGTTCCAAAAATTTGTAATGTAACTCATTAGTATAGTGGATTTATGCTTTGTTTCTCATTCTCATATTATATAGTTCATGCATGCTAATTTTTCAAGACAATTTAGTACTCGATCCTAATGGGATCTTGTTATATGAGTTCCTGTTCGGCATTTAAAAGGGTTCTTTGAAACCTAAACATTCCCTTCAGCCATAAAGCTCTACACCTCTGCTAGATAAAAAAGAGGGGGAAGGAGCCCTGGCCCCTCTTTAGCCACAATGTTAACCGGGCATATGTTGTAGAGCTACTGCACAGTCTTAGACCTAGACCGGCAGCCAGCCCACCGGTTTCTCAAAACATTATTGTAGAGTCTAATGTATGAGCCTGATTCACCTAAATGGTGCTGTGGATGGGGTTTGGATCGATCCTGCTATACTGATCTCTTGTTCACAAGGCGATTGAGCTTGGCTCACGTAAACCATGGTCCTAAGACGATTGAGCCTTGTTCATGTAAACCATGGGGAGCCCACTTGTACATCCACCTTTATTTCTTTAATAAAACGGCTTCTTTTCAACAAAGAGATAAAATCACATGAACCATTCTCCCTCACAAGCATATTCCATATACCCTATTTCTATTCCTTCTTTTATTTGTCCAAAAAGATGGAAACTTCACGTAATGGCTTGAACAGCAACAACAGGGACCCCATTAGGTTGTTTAGCCACAAGATTTGATGCTCCTGTGGGAGCATATACTGTCCATTTATTTTATCAGATAAAACTAAATTGTGGATTTTAAATTTTGGGGATGTAACCCCTTCAACCTATAGCATATGCACCACCCACGGGAACATGGCACATGTGCTTGTTTTATTAGAGCAGCTACAATGCCCTTGTGCTTGTTGGAAGATAGAGTAACAGCTTAGGGTTTAAAAGAGGTGGGGTGGCGCACACACAATATTACTTTGTTTCTTTTGACAAGTTTACTTCTATTTCATTAATGGATAAAAGAAGTTACATTATGTACAGAAGAGCAAAAAAAAAAAACTCAAAAGAGGACATCAGTTATCACTAAGTTATACTCAACTCTTTTGTTTGCTGGGTACATTAGCCTCTTTATTTCCCTATAAACATGCTGCAAAATAATCAGCATCTTATTACTTATATCCATGATATTACTTTTTTTCACACGAATGAAGCGTGCCTTGGTAACCTGTGTGATTGAGATTATATTCTCTTTTATTTTTTAATCAAAAACACAAAAACAAAGAGGAGGAGAGACTTTACTTTTGCGTTATGATTGTGAAAAGGAAAATTGCTTCATGCGGGCAGGACTGCATTTCTACATATACGGTACAGAAGTATAAAGCATCCACCTTAAAGGATGCAAATATGTGGTCCATCTAAAAACAATTGAAGCTAACGGTCTAAATGTTTTTTTAATAGAATTATTTTTTAAATTTATAATTTTTAATTTTTAATTTTTAGTTTTTCATATTCATGGTCTCCATGTTAAAGATTATATATCCTGAAAAATTAAATAAAAAAATTCATCTAAAAAATAAATTTATTAAGAGGCATGCATTTCTACATGTGCCGCATGCTAACCGCGTCCTTGTGAGAATTCATTATCTAAAAACTGAAGCAAAGGGAGAAAACAATTAGCTTGTTGGGTATCACCATCACAGAAGTTTGTTTTAGAATTGATAGTTCATCTATTCTAACTTCTAATCCACCAAGCACCAACATCAGCTTCTGTCTCTATTCTTATGTTGACTTTTCCTCCTCAGTGGTTTTGGTAATTGATTGGTCTTATTAGTTAGACACACAAACAAAAAAAAAACAAAAAAAAAAGACCAATTTTGGTTTCTTTTATTAATGTTCATTAGAGATATTCTTGGACCTAACCATCCAACAATGGCCAAAAGAGTCCATGCCTATTTCATGCACAATTTCCACAAATATTGAAAACAAATCCTAGATGAATACTTGTTTACAGTCTCCATTTTTGTAGATATAGCAATTTTTTTTGTTTCAGTCGTGAACTGGGGATTCAAATCCCTATCGTTGACCTTATCTTATCTTCTTCTTCTTTTCTCTATTTTTTTTTTTTTAATTTAATTTAATTTTATTTTATAAAAGGCAAATGGCCATGGTAATACCATGGTTGTATTTTTTTTTTGGTGAGTAGGGCTGTTCATGCTCTTATTCATATTGTACCAAAGTTGCAATGGCCAAAAATGGGGGATAGCATGCTCTGATGGGATTACAATGTAAAGTTACTCTAGATCAGGATTTAAAAAACAAATCGGTGACTAAGATCGGACATCCCAAAATCAGTCCAGATCGGTGAATCGGCAGTCTGGATCGCCATTTTACTGTACAGAAAAAATAGTGAATCAATGGAAAAATACATACAAAAACGTGAACCACCCAAAAACCGATCCGGATTAATGAATCGACGTTTTTACTGTAAAAAAATAACTTTTGTATTATAGAAAATTCCCGGTTCTCTTTTAGACATGGATGATATTCTATATATTAACAGAATCGGCATAAGGTGACCGATTTTTGGGTTGGACCGGGTGATTCCGTGTTGACCTGGCATTTTTAAATCACTGCTGGATTGAAGGAATACCTAGATTTTTCAATTTAGAATTTTGAGATCCACTTGAAAATCAATGAATTATTATATAAAAAAAGGTGACTCGAATATGATCGTCTGAATGATATCTGTAAAATTATTTTATTTCTGTAGGGTGCTGGTTTTTAGGAAAGTGGTTTATGTATCTGGGGATCCATAACTACATTTGTTTCCCGAGTCATTCGTCCAAAAATAGGCAAAATCAACGCTTCAAAAATTCTCTTTGAAAAATTATTATTTTTAATTTTAAAATTTAATTATTTTATTTATTCATGATCTCCATGTTAGTTAATAAAAAAAAAAAAAAAAAATTACAATAAAATCATTTATCTTTAGTACAAGGTGGTCTAATTAATCTTGACCATTCGATGTGAAATTGGATGGTTGCATTTATTCCATTGACCATTCAAAAACTTCAAAAGATTTTTTGAATTTTATAAAAGATAATAAATAAATATGATGTCCTTGTAGCAAAAGTAAATAGTCTCGCTTATATACAATCTCTAAAAATAATAGGTCCAAAATCTATCTAAAAAATGGATCATGGAAAGGGGACGCACATGAGTCCTAGGACTCATAAAAAACGTGTCCTTGTTTTTAGCATAATTATATCCAGGTTACGTCCCAAAAATTTGGGTGCTGGAAGAGGTGAGTTTAACGGAAAGGCGTTCAAATAGAGGAAATGCTCCGGCGGGAGCATAAAATCTCTTGACTTACAACCTTTCAGGATTTTATCCAATTACAAGCAACAAATACTCATAAATTTACATATAGTGCACAGTTAACAATGATGAAATCTTGAAATGAAGAGCACAGGCTCCCTGTTTGCTGTGAATGTGTACTATTATTATTATCTACAACTACTTTTTGAGAGTTGTTCCAATTTTTCCATATGATTCAAATCCTGTGTGCTGCAATTCTGCTATGTTCTGGGTGGTGCTTCACAAATGGCCTGATTCATGGATTCCTTAGGGGGGGTTAACCTTCTTACTTCTAGAGATAGAGAGAGAGAGAGCCCCCCCATACCCCTTATGAGAGTCAGTTAGATTGCTTGAGATTGTTTATTGAAAGAGGTAAGCAATCCCATATGTTTCATTCTTGTTGCATTTTTTATAGTTGAGTTTTGATGCCTTCAGCAGAGGTGTTTTGGGTGTTGGAGAATTTGTTTATTATGTGGCTCAGAAGCTGGTTGAGTTTCTGAAGTGCTTAAATATGTTGGTTGCGAGGCTTAATATATGAAGACAAAGATATTTTCTTCTGGGAAGTTTCAGTCATGGTTTATTTCTTTCTTTCTTTGCTTTGTTCTTAGTTGCTATATGTTATTAATTTGCTTATTCTCCGAGAATTTAGTTTTTGGGGTGACATGGAGTTGTTTCTGTAAGTGGGGTTGCATGAATTTGCAGGTTTAAGATTTGGGTACTTTCTAAGCAATTAGTTTTTATTTTTAGTTTTTAAGTTTGTGTATGTTCTGGACCATTTCTTTTGGCACCAGAAGTTGGGCTGCGTTAGTTTCACATTTCTGGCAAGGAGAAGTGGAAATGAGCCTTTCAAATAAAAAGGATGACTTCTTAACAAGATACCGTATTGCTAAGCTGAACATCAGTGTAGAGTCTTATTTTATTTATGAGTGCTGAATATCGGTAAGTTGGTTCTTAAAAGAATGTTAATTTGATGGGGACCCTGAATATGATCGCTGATGTCTTGATTGTCGCGATATTTTTCTGTTCTCTTTGAATTCCAATTATTAATTTGTTGTATCTCGAGTAATTGCTTGCGAGCTTTCTATCTTGATAGCAGTTCGTCTGATAATTTGCTGATGTCCAAAATGTTGGATTTAGTCTATGTCAGCTTACACGGCTGGTAGGAAGTGTCGAAGTATGTAGAGTAATACTAAACTACCATAAAGGAAAACAAAGAGGCAAAAACAAATTTTAAAAAGAAAATATGAAACTGAAAATAGAAAGGATACTGCATATATTTTACATGTATGCCTAGTTGCTGTTCTATTGCAGGGCTTCTTTCATTCTTTGTATCAATGTGTAAGAAAGATAGATACATATAACAAGTCCTAAATCAATGCTCTTTCTGGTTTGTTTCTGGTTTGAATGAGTTCTTTGTCACACTATCTCCAGTTTGGTTTGCCGCTTCAATATGATAGATGATCCCTACCCTGAATGATATTTAGTACTTTCAGCTTTGATAAGGCTTGTATACTTACCTAATTTGCATTTACTGGAGAAAAATTTGAAATTGGATTCTTTTTCTTTGTCCTTATTAAAGCATGTGGCATTATTTATGGTCTCTTTGGCCTGTTGAAGTTTGATATGTGTTAAGCAGTGGTGTGGATTAGATGCTGATTTATACATGATGCTCTGTTTTTATTGCAGGTCTAGTGAATTTGATGGGTTGACTGTAGCACATGGCAGGCCTTTCAAAGAGTTTTATTTCATTTCAGTTCTACAGGCAACTCTAATTGAACGGTTTACTCCCCTTTGTGGAAACTTCAGCAGCTTAGCTCGTCGGGGCAAATCTCCTTTGGCAATTTCCTTACAAAGTTATTTTAATATTCTAGGGCAGATCTCCTTTGGCATCGTGGGTTAAACCTTCTCAGGAAATTACTACTTTCTGCAAGAGAGTTTGCTAATCCAGAGCAGGTTTTACTGGGCACTTCTCCTTTGGCATTACTAGATCTTTGTGCTTATGAAGATTCATCTATCGAATATATCAACTGGATGATCATTGCATGGTGCAATTCATCCGTTTGAACTGTTGAACTTGGACATGTTATTGTGCAGAAGTTCACAAGTTCAAGGGCACTTCTCCTTTGGCAAAAGTACATTTACTAGTCATTTGTGGGGCACTGCAAGGACTAGTACCTTCAGTTTTTTTTCTCTCTACTGGAAACAAGAGGCTCTCTTCTGGTGTTGATCACTTGACTTTCAGGGTAAACATTGAATGGTATTCATTGCCATCTCTCTTTCTCTCTCTCTCGCTGTCTTGCTTCACTTATGGTGGAAAGTCCTACGCAACGTCTATAGGTGAAAATGAATAGTATTTTGGCCTATAGGCTCGCCACCGCTTTTTTTTTTTTGAACGTTGGGGATTTGGCACTGCCACAGACCTATTATGTTCGTTTCGGGAGTGAAAATAGTATTTATTTTTACATGTGGAAAACACTATAAAACATGTATAGGAGAAGTTCTACAGTACTACACCTACGGCTTATTACCGTCTAAAGTTTATCACGTAGTCACAAATGTCTGATGGAGTTTGGATTTTAATAATTTGTTTACAAATCATAATGATCTGAAATTTTGTAGGAGTGTGCCTTCTTAGTGAGGCGCACTTGAAAATATAAAAAACATAATTTGGATGATAAAATTGACCTAAAATACTATGAAGTTTTAGGGGTATTTTTGTCATTTTAATTTTTGATATTAGTTTTTATATATTTTATTTTTGTTTGAGTTGGTCATATGTACACATGCCTCAAATTTTAGATAAATATGACTAATAAAATAATTATTATTAAAATTCACACACTATCGAACAACCGTGACAATGTGATGGATTTTGGATGGTGATGAGCTATAGGTGAAGTACTGCAGAACTTCGTTTATAGGCGTTTGTAGCTCATATATATATATATATATATATATATATATATA